TGCGTACCTGCCCAGCGTGAGGGAATTCTGCCCAATTAGGAAGAACCGACTGAAAATGGGAAACTGAGACAGGCTCTTACAACCCCTCCATCCAAGTGATGAGAGATAAGGCAGCAGTGACAGTCCCAGCCAGGGTGCTAATTCTTCCTCACCACAAGTGGCATTTCCACTACCACCCCCGCACCCAGCATGTTTCCACCCAGCACCACCTCGTATGTTTACAAGGAGTGGGTGGGGGTGGTAGAATAATAGGGGCTTCCCCTACAGCACAGATGAGGAAGTATTTGGCAATATAGCACAAACTTTACAGTTCAGTAGTTTATTTTAAATGGAGGAAACTGCATCTGCAATAATCAAAATTTATGTACTTCAAATATTATAAAAGGTAACACAAAATGATGTAAACACTTGAAAATGGAAGAATATTGCAAAATTACTTCCACTACAACACAGGGCAAATGTTGGCAACCAGCACAGCAGCATTCAAAAAGTGACAATAGGAAATATATCAGACGAAGCACTAATTTGTACAGCATCGCAAAAATGCAACTGCTCTACAGGCTTTTTCATATTGTAAAGGCAAGGAAAAGATCAATTACATACAGTCAAACCTATGAAAGAATAACTAATCCACAGCATTTGAAAACTAGCTTTGTATGCCAATTTCCAGACAATATCTAAATATAATTTTTTTGCTGACCACCTTGCTCTAACTTTTGTAATATTTGTGTTGTTTTGCATTTTTTGTATTATGTATGAGAAAATTACATGTTGTTGAAGTGCCTGCCTTTTTTTTAAAATACTAACGCTATTAAATCAGAGCTCTGTTAAGTTACCATTTGTGAATAAATAAAAAATAACCAAAAGTTCTGATGATAATAGGGCACAATAGCTACAGCAATATAAACCTGAAAAGATTTTCATAAAGGACATAAAGTTTTGTTGTATCAATACCTTTAGGAAAAATACATATCCAAAGCAAGTGTTAAACTACAGATTTGTATCATTTGAATTTAGGAGCTAGTTTGACATTTACCTCTTCTTTTATCAGGTAACACAATAACATCTGCTTAAAAACAGTGATTATGGGGCAACAATCACATATACGTATACATTTGCACCTACACTTTCAAGTAGGTCACTGAAGATATGTTTAAGCCGATAAAATTATTCAAAGGGCAGCTACACAGATTCTGCATGAACTGCCAAATAATGAGATTGCCATTTAGACTTAAAAAAATCTTTTACAGAGCTGTTCCATTTCTGAGAATGGAAATTCATTAAAAATTATAACAGGAATTAAAGAACTTTGACCCAAATCCAGGCTTCATATTATTCCCCTAAGAAAAAATGTACCATTTATTTTCTAACCATTTGACTTGACAAGGAAAACTTCTTTAGGAATGTTTTGCTGATGAAACAAGGAGGCCCAGACATTGTAGCAAAGAATCAAATATAATTACATTATAAAAAGACAGATGTGAAAGTTCAAAATAACTTAGAGGAATGATAACTGTGTAAACAATTACTAGGACAGACAAAATACGATTCAAAACCAAAGCAATATGCTTAAATTTTCAAATTCATTGGAGACTTATTAACCTAAACTGTCTGGAGAAGTTGGTGATACGTTGACTCACTTGACTATATCCATTTAACTCTCAGTTTTTCATCCAGAAACAGGCACCATTGATGTGAAATAAACAGAGCAAAATTCACAGAGAGATCCTCAACCATGTTAATGCCGTCTTGGGAACCTGAACAGAGGAAAACATAGAAAAAGCTTGGATCACACATGAAACCAAAAGACAACTCAGAACTGTATGGTTAATATGTGAAAAAGAGTTGCTGTATTTCCACATCTGTATTTGCATTCTGTTGACAAAATTTGGATTTAGGGCTTTCGAGTTAAATGTTTGAATTTTTATACAAAACGAGAAAGAATTCTCTCTTTGATAATCAATCTATAGTACTATGTACAGCTTTACCCTGTCTCTTTGGTCTGGGTTTTTAAATTTAAAGCCTTCAAAGTATTATAATCGGCTGTGGTGCTGGAAGAAGGAACTTTGAATGCAGAAGTCTATTCACACCACCTTTACCAGCTGAGGCCAGGTAGCCAAGCTCCTAGTTTTACAGGAATGTAAGAGACAGAATCTTAAGAAATTATCCTTTAGCATTCTTAAATGGTCAACCAAATAGTAAATGAGGTTATTCCTAACCTAAACCAATCCTGCAGCAATGACAAATAGATAGGATAACAGCAATAATGTTAAGATGGTATCTATTTTTTGGAGTACATCTAAGTGTTTAGGGACAAACAACCTATAACGTACATAGTCCAAAGGTTATTTCTGCTATTAGATTTGATAAATTAATTTTCCTCTATCATAAAAGAAATTACTTTTTCATTGAAAGACTAAACATTTTCAGAATCTTTTTTCAAAGAAAACTCAAATATTTTCACCACATACAATTTCCATGCGAATGTTGTCTAATTTGAGTTAAAACTGTTTCTTCATAAAACCAGGTCAAGCTATTAGATTTATAGGATATCTTAAAAGATGTTATTTAACCTAGTATTTCACATCAAGAAAGCATCTGAAAGATGTCTTTGTTGAAATTTCTGTGCCATAGCCTTCTAATTAGAAGAGAAATTTCTCAATGTTGACTCAGGGCCCTTATATGCAAAACTGCTGAGAATTTTTACTTAGTTCCTTTTGTGGGCATCCCCTGCTTTCATCTTGGGTTCATATAATATCCTGACAGTAATGGCAGTAATTCATGTAAAATGATACCACTGTTACTCTGTGCAATGGATTTGTAGCTTCTCATTTGGTAAATGGAATTTGGCAACTAAACCCAAAAGTCAGTATCATATGACTACACAGGAGCAGAGCAACAGGAAGAATTTTGCAGATCAGTGGAAAAGCTCAGGGAACTTCAGCACTGCTATTTTGGATACGCCTGTTCTACTACCAGTGGTTGTAACGGTGCAAATCCTTCTTTTAAAATGTCCTTCTGTACTAGTGTATAATCTGCTATAGAAGCTTTGCTCTTAGAAGCCAAACTTCCCTTTCACGATAGCTTTCTACCTTGAAAAGGATAGGATGACTTCTGTTAATAAAAGACTAAGCACAGAGACTTTTCTTTCCATTTGACAGCACATTAAAAAAATAGCTTATGAAGAATCCATAAACCTCTTTGGAAAACTCTGTACTCATGCAGGTCTTTTATTTAAACTGAATAACTATTCGAGTCTGACTCTTGCGATGTTTTTGAGCTCCAGATTGAGACCACCTACAGTTCGCTGTCTACATGTGTGTTAGATGTCAAATTCATTAAATTAAATAACTCCTACTAAATTCAGTGGAAATCCAGTAGACACACCCAGCAGACTCCACAGAGCTCACTCAGCAGCAGATACCCTGCTCCCACCTCATGGGCTGGGCACCTCAGCAGCCTTCGTAGTTCCACTGATGCAATCTGCACGGCCTTGAAAAAGACCAATGTATCCAGATTGCTCCAGACCCCTAAACACGGGGGCAGGAGAGGGGTATCTCAAACTCATACCACAGAAAAGCCCAAGTCATTCCCCAGAAAGTGGGGGGATTGTCTACATACAGGCAAAATGGGAATGAATCAGAATAATTTAGCATTAGAATCAGATGGTTAATTTCTTAAAATGTTAAATATTTCTCTCACATTGCTTTATTAACATACTCACTATTTTCACCAGCAAAATACGGAAGAAAATTAGGATTATGCTGTGATGTCCTGGACAAGTTAAAAGGCTGTGCAACTTGATATGTAAGTCATAAAAGCTGACCTCTTTTGCAAGATAATATTAAAAATATGTTTTTGTTGTAAAGAATTATAGATTCTTGTCTTTCCTGTTGACTACATCATTGAATCCCATTGTAAGACCTTATCACCCCTAAATCTTGCTACACAGTAAATTTGAAAACTTAAAAGTAATTCTCAAGTGTTCAAATGAAAAAACGCACTCTGAATGCACATGCAGTAATGCACAATAAATTCAGAGCAAAGCTTTCAGAATCAAAATTGTAGGCACCGATCCAATAGAAGAAGTTACTTCAGCTCTGGTTTTCTTTTTAGATCATCAACACCAATGAATAACCTGTATGAATGGGATTCTTAGAAATTATATTTTAAATATTTTATGGTGGAGGGGTCCTTAACCCCTCTCCAGGGTTTAAGAATTTCCCACCACCATCATAGTATCATAGAATCATAGAATGTTTGGGGGTGGAAGGGACTTTCCTTAGGGAAAGCAGACATCTGATATGTATGTTCACAGGAGAAAATTTATCCACACAAAGCAAGGAATGACATCTCTGAGACAAAATGCATATTTGGCTACTTGTTATCACTTACACTGAAGCCAAAAGCCAGATTAAAAGATGCACAGTTAATGTTCTGCTTCTTCATTGCTATATTTTTCTATTTGTTTTCCATAACATACGTTTTTTGCTGTAATGTCTGTGACCTTTTTGCTTTCATCAACATTTTCTTTTGAATAAATGTACTTCTGTTTAGCTCTGAAATGATACAGGCTACTCCTTCCTGCCTGCCAATAAACTGAAACAGGCATTACGTCAATAAAATTGGTGGTTTTCACATGCTATATGCCCCCTTAATATTCAAGGAAATATTCAAAGAAAAAACTTATTCTATCCTGCAAATTCTAAGCTTTTCTAAGTACATGATGCCTTTGTGTTTAATGTTGCTTGTTTCACAAAAAAAGCAAATCTTTATTTGCTACTGTCCAAATATACATCCAAGAACCTTTACTAAACAAATGGCTTCTAGAGCAAAATAAGAGGGTAAAAAAGCAAAGTGATTCCTTTGGACACAGCTGATATCATTGTTATGATCCCCAAAGAGTAGAAACTATTACAGGCATGTGATTATATTTTAATAAAGATGTTAAAATTTGTTCTAAGCATACCTAGCATTTTCTTTCAGTACTCCAGAACATCCTAAACAGAAGGCTTACTTCGTTTGGCTTTCTTCAACTTTGAAGAGCCTTCTTCTTTCTGTTAACAAAATGAACAAAATAAGGCAAAAAAACAGTAAAGCAAACAAAGCAATAATACTAGGCTCAACTAAAAAGTTGTTTCTGAATGAAATGCTTAGTTGAATGATATAAGAAGTAATTTTGGAAGTTTCTATCTTCCAATGTAAATATTTAATGCATGTTTATATGTATAATGGGTAAATAATTAAAACCAGAGCTATTTTTAAAATACACTTTTAGATGCTGGCAGGCAAGACAAGACTTTCAAAACCAGCTGATCATTTCTGAGATAATGAAAAAGGCTTACTCTTCAGAGAAGTGCTTCGCAAAGACCCCCGATACCACCATTTTATTTTAATCTGGAGAGAGGAGGAGAGCATTGGAGAGTTCATGCCTACCCCAGTTGACAGCCAAATCCCTCTCCTCCTCCTAAGACTCCAGCTGAAACTTCTCTAGAGCTGTACATCAACCTCACTTGGCTCCAGCAGTGGCACTCCAGCACTGGCGGTGTGGCAGGCACACAGTGAGAAGTTGCTGCCACCCCCAAATGCAGCTTGCAGGGCTCAGGCTGGTACCTGTGCTACTCACAGCCTGCCTGGAGACAGAGGAACAGCACAGGCACTCGTGACTCATGGCTAGGACAGGGCAGTGCCCTTTCCTCATCCCAGCAGGGCAACCAGGCCAGCTGCTAGCTCTGCTTGTGCAGCCTGCCCAAGCCGTAGAGCGAGCCCCACGCTCACAAGCCCTACTAGGGCCGAGTCATTCCCAGTGGGAGGCATTTAATTCATACCACGGTGGAAGTCTCCCTTCAGTACTCAGACCCCTGGGGCTGTTGTTCTTACAACCACAGCTATTTTTAGCTGCTGTTTCCCTTTTCTTCCTTGTGGGACTGACTTCTGGCTCTGCTGTCATAGCACTGCGGTGCTGGGCTGGTAACTGGTGACTTGGTTGTGGCCCAGTGGAAGGGCCTTTTCCAGCTGCAGTTGGACGGCGCCAGCTCCGAGCAGCTGGGCTGGTGCTTCCCACACCAACTCCCCTCTTCTCCACTGCAGCCTGAGCTCTAGGGTACGAGCGTGTTCCCACAGCAGGGCCCCGACGCTGCTCTACCGGCCCTTTCTGAACTGCATGGATAGCACGAGCTGTGCTCTGTTAATTACTACTAAAAGTTACAGTATTGTCTTTTATTCAACTTTAAAAGTGTAACAAAAAAAAAGATGACAGAATTGAATCTTAACAAATGCAAATTAATTGGAGAATCTGAATTAGGGATACACACTCTGAAGTTCCTAAATAACAGTTAATGTAGTAAGTTTATATATTGCAACATGTGACTAAGCAAAGGCCCCTCAGATCGATCTCGGGTAATGAGACCTCCAAGGGTCACACTTGAAATGAAATATAAAAGCCAAGGGAACCTGGGTGAAAAGGGAGTTAAGCAGGTACAACTTTTTCTCCCTGTTTATTCTGCAGAGTTATTGCACAGTATTTTCAGGTGGCTTTTAGCAGAAATAATACATAGATGTCTATGGAAGAAAATACAATTATGTTGAGCACTGGAGAATTGGGAACTGTTCCTTCTAATTTCTGGATAGTAAAAGCATAGAGAATGTGATTCTAAGGAGAAGGAGATGGGAGATACAACTGAATTTTAAAGAAGTGATGTTTAGAAACAGAAGTGTAGTCTAGTGATAGGTAAAAACAATATTTGAGATATATGAAAAAATATTTTTAAGAGGAATTTAAAAGTACACATTACTAACATTATAGCTGCGTCCAGAGGAAAAAGTATTAAAAAAAAATCATATTAGGAAGTTAGCTAATTACTGTTGCTGATCCCACCTAGTAATGAAATAACAGCTTAAATATATTAAATAATTAAGAGAATATAACTTTTAAAAACTCAGAATGAATAACTGATAACTCTCTGGAATTCACTTCTAGAGAATGTTGCTGAATTCAAACACTGAAGATGAGACACTTAAAGAGCCATTGAGAATGCCATGATTATATTGGGCAGGATAAAACTGTTTTCCGTAGAATCAGAAAATCTGCTTCAGAAACATATTTTCATTAACTAACACCATCAGTCACTTTAATTTTAGTAGTATCTTTTGCAGGAGACAAGCATTTTAAATGCACACTTTAAGTTACAGTAACATAAGCAACGGTTAATGTTTATCTAGAGCAGGCTCAGTAAGATTTATTGTTTTGCCCATTTTAATTGGAACATAATAAAATGAAAAGAACAAAAATTTCCTTTTTATCTCTTAATTCAGACCCTTGTAGACTGGATTAAGGGGTGTACGTGTGTGGAGTTTTTTTACCTGTTTTCTTTTGGCATAGCCCTTCTTTACAGATGCTTCCGTGTTACTCTCCTTGTCTGAGGAAGTCGGTTTTGAGGTCAGTGTTTCACACGTCAGATACTTGTTCCCTGTAATCACCTTAAAGTAAGGAAGTTTATACCTTCATTACAAAAAAAAACCCCACCTAGTATTTTTCTACTTGTTAAAATGACGTATTTTGTCAAGAGGTGTCTTCACAATACAAAGTTGAAATAACCTACCAGATTACATTTTCTACATGAAAAAAGTGATAAGCACATTTCATTCATGTGCCCAGTTCATGAGATATCATTCTCACAGAAATTACACTGAAATCAGCTCAACTATTTATTTTATTGAAATGCAGACAGCATCATAGAAAATTTAAGTTGTAAAGTAACTCTAGTGGTCATCTAACCACAACTTTTATTCAAAATAGAGCTGACTTCAAAGTTAGGCCCTATCTAGTTAAGCTTTGAGAATCTGATAGGATACAACTCTATAACCTCTGTGCAATCTCTTCCAGTACTTAACCACTCTCACTCTGAAGATTTTTTTTTTCCTTATGTCCAGTAGGAATTTTTCCTGTTGCAACTTGTGCTTTCAGTGAAAGCATAATTAAGCTTGTATTTGCAAGTCTTCCTTGTCTGTCTAACAGCACAATGCCCTACACACACTGGAGCCAGCACTACACAGCTGACGAGCCTTGAGATTCCTTCCAGGAGCTGTTCATCAGTGTGGCTTCATATGAAGACAGACTGGACACCGCAAATTTCACTATGTTAACATCATACAAATCTTGATAAAAAAGCAAACTGTCTTAAGGAAAGGAAACTATCCTAAAAGTCCCAAATAAAAAACCCAACTGTGTATCTCAGACAACATAGAAAATTAGCTTCCCTTTCAGGAAAAAAAAATCAGTGGTGGCTGAAAACATTAACTTATATGCTAGAAATTTTAGAAAACTACACTGAGAATGATGGTAGAACATGATGCAAGTCATGCTCTTTATTGCTTAACCTTGTTTTAGAATATACTGAATTTGTGAGAACCAGTAAGAATAAGCCCTGTTATTTACCGTACCTGTTCAAAGTTAGATTTGGAATGACTGCTTGTCTTAGCGATATAGTCTTTAGAATGGCACGCTGCTTTTTTTTCTTCATTTTTGGTGATGTACATTTTATCATTTAAGACAGATTCATGAATATTTAACCTTGCTCCTTCATTTGTTCCCTTTGTTTGTTGCCATGATAAACCAAAATTTGTCGTTTCGTTCTCCAATTTACAAATCTGCAAAGGTACTTTCTTTGACTGGTGGTGCTTCTCAAGAACTTGTGTGGTATTTTGACTTGCAAACTTTTTTCCCCTTCTTCCATTGGAAGTAGGAGATGGATATATGATGTTCGATTTCTGAAGCATTGACTCAACATTCCGAAGAAAAGGAGAATTTGCCCTTTTCTGGTTGACTTCACTTGAATTCCCACCCGAAGTTGAATTATGAGAAAAATCAGAATTAGTCATTTGTCCACCAGACTCTGTTTTCCACCGAAATACAGGTACACCATGTTTCGGGTACGTTTCCACGTTCTTTACCGGAAGTAGGCTGCTATGAGTAGCATTTTTGACTGATGTATTTTGAACGGGTTTGTAAACCTCAGTTATGCTGGACTTGCACACTCTCAGCACAGAAGATGAGACACCCGTAATTTTTATTGGTGAGGGTCTTTCAGCATTTTCTCTTTTCTTCCCATCCGTTTGATTTGTGGTCTTTCCATTCATTTGCATCAATTTCCCTTTGAAAATTGGTATAATTTTGCTTTCTTTGGCCAGGGGGAGTCCAAAGGCTGCCCTTACAGGCATTCCTAAAGATTTCACAACTGGCAACTCTGGTACTCTTGGTATTTGCTTATTATTCGTGGATTTCTCCGTTGTTTCAATGCTAAAATTTTCTGCACCCCTACTGATACTCGAAAAAGCGTGTGCTTCTGGCTCTTTGATCAAACGCTCCATCCAGTGGCTGCCTTCCATACTGCATGGTGAAGAAATTCCAGGCAAAGTCTGTTTCTTTGGAGGAGCCTGCGTTAGAGACACTACACAAACCATCTCACCGGCCAGTTTCATGTGCTTAGATTTAATTTCCTGCAATACAACAAGAATTGCTAAATGAATTAACCGGATTTAAAAAATCTGATAGTGCCACCTAATGCATCACTACATGAGATCAATCTGATATACATCACAATACATAACCTTATATTTTCCTGTTTTGAATTAGAATGAACTACACTTTTAAACAATATTTTGTTGTCATTATAAATGAAGGCCTGTTTTCTCCTCCCGCATTTCTTTGTTTGTAAACTATGTTGGATATTGTATTTGTCAGAAGGAAAGACTTAAAATTACAGTAATTATCTTGCTTTAACTGCTTTCCAACTGGGTAATGGCTGCCCCTTTTGAGGGGGTCTGCAGAGGATTTGACTGACAGGACTCCTCATCTCTTAAGACTTCCAAGGGCATCTGTATTCTGAGTAAAAGATAGTTTGTATGTCTATAAAGACTGCAGATGACAAAGAGGAGCCATTATAGCTTTGATCACTGAAGAGACATAAACAGGAAGTGCTTTCTGAAAGCGGATTATAGTATTTTAGAATTTCTGCAATTTCTGTCACTACTCTTTGTTCAGAATTAATTACTTCATTTCTTCTTTCACACACTACTACCAAAGAAATCTGAGTCTCAGCCTTTGTCACAACCTCAAATTAAAGGAGTTTTGATTGCTTGCCTCCTCTCCATCATCAGTCATGGATTAAGTCTTACAAGCTTGAGTGTTTCTAAATGCATAATTCCACTGAACTCTTTATTTTTCTTGGTTTGCTTTTTAAAAATAAATGGTGGTAATAAATAATAACAACAACAACAACCACCCTATCTAATAAATAAGTTACTATTATGGAAGAGGTATGAGAAGGTTCTAGATATTCAAACATAACATCTATAGAATTGCAAATACTGACATCAACTAATTAAGTCCAATTTTTAAATGTATTTGTGATGAGAACAATGACAACAATGGCAAATAGCAATAAAATATTTAATTACACATTTGAGTAAAAGTTACGTGATTGACAGTTGTTTGTTGCAAAAAAAAGCATAGTTTTATGCTCTAACTGTGTTCTGAATGTGATAAAAGACCACTTCATACTATGAACAAAGTAAATGCCATTAATGTATCTGTCGAAAAATCTTAAACACACCGGAGCCCTGGAGAGTTCTTGTGTAGCATAAAGTGCTTTACTTGTCATCTTCACTGGAAATCCACATAGATGTGAAAGATTATGCTTCAGGTCATAAAGAAAAGAGTTCAGCACACTTTCTGAATCTGTTCTAGGGAAATACTGAACTGGCTGACTTCGAATGCAACTTAAAGGGTAACTGAATAACTGTTCAGGGACACGTAACAAGTTTCTTTATATTTCTACAATTCTGAATCACTTTTTTGAAGAAAGCATGAACATGTCTAAAGCTTTTCCAAAAGGTGAACAAAAGCACTTTCTTAATGGACTGAAGCTTATAAAGTTACAGGACTTCAACATGACTATACCATATTAACATACCACAGTAAAAATTAATTAATATAAGTTATCCTTGGTCTAGTCTTTCTGAGCAGGAAATTTCTCTTTCAAACAAATCTTTGTTGGCCACAGTTTCATAGGAATTTAGCTCTTTCTTTCATATAACCATTACCATGTTTACAGAAGCTGTGAAGCAAACTGATCTATTTGATTTACTATTATTCAATACTAGGACAAACAGACTTGAATAAATATTTTGTTCCAATTTGTCTAATGAAACCATTCTCCACTGACTTCTGTGGTATTATGGAAGAAGAAAATGTTGTACAAGCAAAAAAGGAAATTTAGATCTTCACTAGAAGTTTAGTAGAGGAGGTACTAAAAAAATATTCTGAAAGGATACGTGAAGAACCTCTCTCCTATTGGCTTGAAGTAAACACTGAAGTATATTTTTGTCTCGTTATGATCCTCTGGAAGAATATATCCATACTATAAAAAAAACCAAACACAAATCTGTATTATAAATGCAAACTCAATAGGTACAAAACATTGAGATGAAAATGAAAACAGTGCATATTGTTTCTTACCAGATTCTTCCAGTGCATCTGAAACTCTTTATATGAATGGAAGGGAGAATCTGGAGGAATTATGTGGCTGATGCTTATGATCTGACCCATTTTCATGCTGTGGACAGGTAAAGAAGAGATACTCAGAAAAGGTGTCATAAAACTCAGCTAAAAATACACTGGACTTTTGTCACTGAAAGTATCTATGGATTATTTTTATGTTCTGAGGACTAATACCCTTAGATCATAAGTTTATGACAGAACAATAGCAATATTTCCTGAAGTATGGAAAATAATTTGGCACCTACAGGTCTAATTTCTCTTGTCTGTAATATTACCAGTGAATGTAGGACAAAAGCAAATATATCATTACTCTTATATTTTCATGATTAAAATCATAGGTGAAAATAGAAATAGTTTGCGGTGAAGGTGAAAATATATCTTTTCTTGACATTTATACTTTCTGCTAAAATTACATTTGAGAAAGGTTTATGCTCATGCATATCCCAGAAGTAGCAAAGATTACTAAAATCAAAATATTTAAATGTGTCATTTAGGACTCACTGATTATTCTTCTCATTTTCCATAACACTGAGATCATAAAAGTAAGTAAGTAAGTAAATAAATAAATAAATTCCTGAATGTAAACCAGACTGTAAACCAGATCACAGAATGGCCTAGGCTGGAAGGGACCTTAGAGATCGTCTAATCCAACCTCCCTGCCGTGGGCAGGGACGCCTCTCAACTAGATCAGGTTGCTCAAAGCCTCATCCAACCTGGCCTTGAACACCTCAAGGGCGGGGGCATCCACAACTTCTCTGGACAATTTATACCAGAGTCTTGCCACCCTCCGACTGAAGAATTTTTTCCTAAGATCCAATCTAAATCTACTCTCCTTTAACTTAAATCCATTTCCCCTTGTCCTATCAGTGGACACTTTTTCAAATTCACATCTGCATGGCAATCGTTCCAGGAAGTGTTTGTTTCTGCTGAAATGTAAATTGACTCCTACCTTGGCAAAACATAGCACCAGTTACTTAATATGGAATGCTGGTGAATCACTGTATTTTCGTTGCTGTCAAACAGCTTTAAGGTGTTTGCTGAAATATCAAAATCTCCCAGCTTAAAACAGAAAAAAAAATTATTTGCAAATATTTCTACAGCAGTAAAAAATGAAAATTTACAGAAACAATTGTGCATCACACCACACTAAAGCTTATACGCTATTGTTCTTTTATCAGTCCTCATAGACTGATTATTTCAGAAGATATTCCCACTACCAATTGCACACAAGGTTTAAAGGTTACTTAAATCAGCGAGATTTAAACTTTGAAATATTTCAACAAGAAGGAATTTCTCAGACTAAGAATTGTCTCATTTCCATGTACATTTTTTTAAAGTTCAAATCAGAAACCCCTGTCTGACAGCCTAGTAACTGTGTACACCACCTTGCCTAACCGGGTGCAAAGATCCAAGCAACCGAATTAATGGCACATGCAGTTTCACCCTGTGAGAAGTCAAAAAAAACATGTCAGATTTTAGCAATGTGAAAATATTTGACTGTAGGGGCCAATCAAACACTGAGATTTGAGAAATGTTTTCTCTATATATGTTTCGCCATATGTTTATTCACTGAGAAGAAAATCTGGCCAGTTCTGTTTTAGAAAAGTATTAAAATTATCACATTGATAATGTTTGCTTCCATCACTGCTTTGTGTGATTTTGAAATTGGATTCCTACAGAAAGCTTTAATGCTCATCCTGCCCAATTAGGTCACAGAAGAAATCCTATTCTCCTATTGTAAGAAGAAATCCTATTCTCCTATTGTAAGAAAGAAGAGTTTGGGTCAGAAATACTTATTTTGGAAGAAACCAGCTAGCCTGACAAATATGCCCCTGTACGCATGGACATACTCAACAAAGGTGATACAGCTGTCACAAAGGATGTAATTTTTCAACCTCAGCAATGGTTTCTTAAACAATTTATTAATTGTGCTTACAAGCAGGATAGTTCAGGATGCTCCAGTACTTTAAAAGCTGAACAGAAAATGAAGTAGACTTACCTGTAGCTTCACTTCTAAGATGTTACTCAAAACTCTACTAAACTCAGACAGTGAATACCTTACAGAAAACAGTGCTAGAAGGAAACCTAGAATCACACTTTTCTGCTATATTGTTAGCATTTTTTGAAAGGTCTGTTAAGTAGTCTAGAATCTTAATTAAACAATGCTTTCTAGAAAGCATCAATATAGATATAATATGGGTGTTATGCACGTATAACAGATGCATATAGGCAATGAATATGATTACTGTCACAATGCAATCAGAAATATGCACTTCTATCCCACTGTGATAATTGCGAGTCACCTAACAGAAAATAAGATAAAGAACAGAAGGAAAAATAAAAATCACAGAAAAATATAACAAGTTTATACCTGAGGGGGTGGCAACCGAATTGAGCAAGCCTCCACACTGATGCAAAGCTGTCTCTCTGACACATTGAGGTCTATAACTAAAAAAAACCCAAAGCATAAAGCCCTGTTTTGAACTACAGTTCACCCATTAGACAGAAAGTTAAACCAATACTTAAAGTAGTTGCTAGTCAAAATGCTGCATTTGAAAATCAAAAGGCTTGACTTCCTCAGAATGGAAATTACAATTAAGTGCATTTTAACTGTAAAAAAAACAACAACAACAAAACAAACTACCATCCATACAGTCCACCTCCCTAGGAACTCATTGCTGTCGATGAAATTGGATGCTTGATACTCATATGCTTGATACACAAACACCCATTTTCAAAGCAAGTGAAGTTCTTATAACCATTGGCTGTACTGAGTCATCTAGCCTAGTGTTACGCATCAATAAGTGGTCAACGAGAAAGACTATATGAGCAAAGCAAGCATTTATTGAGACATTTCCAGAATATTCACCCAGCTCTGGGCAAGCTGCAGCACAAGGACTGAATGTATCGTGTTCCTCAACATAGGTCCCTGTTACAAACTTAGTCTCCAATATCCCCAAATGTAACCTTTCCCTTTTATACTGGAATAAAAATACTACTTTGTAGTTTTTGCAACCGATAAGCAGCGTGCTTCATGACTTAACTTTTGTGAACAGCAAACATAGGACATACAGGACACTCAACTTTAGCTCATTTTCCTACCTATTATTATGGAACTTCTACATTACAAGACTCATAATTTGCGGCAAGTGCATTTACTTGTAATAAGAGTAACTTTTAAATGGTAAATTTTAACTTATGGCCATAGATTAATAGTAGAAAAACTAGCCTTTTTGTGGATAATTTTTCAAAGGTGTGGTTGAACTGACAGCTATCACATACAGAGCATTGTCTGCCATCAAGTGCATTTTGACAGAGGTTATTTCAGAATGAAAAACAAAAAGACATGGTATTGGTAATACCAAGATTGTGGCAGTGTGAAAGCTCATAACTATACCTTGCTCTCATAAGTTTATCATTAACAGAATATTGTACTTACTGACTGCATTTTGCCTTCCTGAATGAGACAAAAATTCTTTTCCTTAATAAAAAAATAGACATTATTTTCTAAACCATAGTGTCTTTATGCAAAAAGAAAAAGGAGAAATCATATACAGTTTTGTTTATGCATCACAAATGCTGAAAGGTTTGTTCCTTTGAAAGAGAGAAAAACTTCTCTATCAATTAACATTTCACTGATTCATTAACATCTTATATAAAAAAGAAAGATATACAAAAGTGTATTAAAGGACAGCAATTTATGCATATTTTTTCCTCCTTGTAAGGAATTTACACACAGAATTATTTTTAATCAACTAACAATTAATACATTTCTAAGGTTCATAAGCAAATCTGTATAGTACTACATATTTTACCATATATTATCAGTTTTGCCCAGCTTTAGCAACATACATGATTAGACAAGCTGCATGTACCAGGGTGACGCTGTTGTTGGTCAATGCCTTTTGTTGAAACCAGTTTTATATCAGCTACCATTTAGCCCTCTAATTCTAGCTGCTATACCTGAATAAGCAAACTTTGTTCAGAGAGCTATATATTTTGAAGACACTGAAAACATGATGCTATTAATATAATGTCTGGAAATAAGAAATTAGCACATACACTTTTCCCAATGTATATTTGCAATGATCTATGCAATTGCTCTACTTAATAAGAGCACAGCACAGTATCTGAAACGCATCTAGTTTTCCATACTTTGGTAATTCACGTTTAGCCTCCACAGGAATTAGTAGAGGTGTCAGGCAAAGGAGCTAACATCTAAAAAGACAGAGTTTGGTAGAAGATGGTCTGACAGAAAAACATTTCTGTATTAGAAAAGCATGCAAACCATGTGCAGATGTGCAGCTGATGAAAGAATGAGTCTGATAAACAGGCCAAATATTTAGAAGACATTTACTGTCCAACAATATTTGGTTTGGAAATTATTCATCTGGTATGTTGCATTCAGTTGAAATTATCACTTGATCGATTACAAAGGTGAGGAGGAAGATGCAAAAGTCAACAAAATGGCCATTCAGATTGTTAACTTGAATCATTGAGCTTGGATAAAAGAACATTAAAAATGCAATCAAAGAAAAAAAATAGAATAAATGAATGGAATAATTTATTATAATTAATGAAATAAGGATGGAAGTTACATTATAGACAATAAATGCAATGATAAGAAACTGAAAACTAAATGCTTGATCCCTGATCGAGGTGGGTCAAATACCTTGCACCAAGAGATGACCAGCCTTGTTCCACCTGGGTGCAAGTCTGGCTGTAAGTGTGTAGGAGAGACAGGTTTGGAGAATGGCTGGACTAACTGTTTGTGGCGCTTCCAGCTAATAACATCAGTGAGAAAAGAAACATACATTATTAATAATTTAACAGATCTTTTTAAAAGCTTCAGACAAAATTTAATCAAAGCTACTGCTAATGTATCTTCAAGCCAGACTCTACTATATGCCGCAGATCTTTACTTTTCATCTACTTAGCTACGAGAGGAAGTTAGCACAACACTTGATGTAGGCATTTAGATTTCATATGTCATCAAAATAAGGTGCACTAAAACTAATGTCCATGTTGGCTGGGCCTGATCCTCTGATTGTCTTCTACACACTGCTTGAAGGCACTCAAGATGATCTGCTCCATAACCTTGCCAGGCACCGAGGTCAGGCTCACAGGCCTATAGTTCCACGGATCCTCCTTCTGGCCCTTCTTATGGATGGGCGTCACGTTTGCCAACCTCCAGTCACCTGGGACCTCCCCAGTTAGCCAGGATTGATGATAAATGATAAAGAGCGGCTTAGCCAGCTCTTCCACCAGCTCCATCAGCACGCTAGGATGAATCCCATCCAGACCCATGGACTTGTTGGGATCTAAGTGGCACAGCAGGTGCCTCCTGGATTACAGGAGGGGTATTCTGTTCCCCATCCCTGTATACCACGCCTTATGAAAAAACACTCATTTCTGGCAACAGCAATTGCAGACAAGCGTAACACAATCTTAAGATCCGTGGTATTTTTCAGCACTTACGGTAGCTCCTTGGTTCTCTATGTAGGCTTGACATATTCCTGATTTGTAAAACGGTATCTAAAAATAATAATAATAATAATTAAAAAATTAGGTGTCTGAAATTAAGTGGTGTTTTAGCAAATAATAAATTAAATTCTTATCCATCAGTGACTTTGCCTAAGAAAAACATGCTAAGAAATAGTTAAAGCAAACATTATATACTGTATTTCAAATGGGAATGATAACTGAAATTACTTCAGTTATTTGTCATAGTGTAATCTCATTTCCAGCTAAAGACACATTAATAAGTGTCCTGGGTTGAGCTAAACAGAACCAATTCTGTTCAGTGATTTTACTTTCCAGTTGAGTCTCTTCTACAAGACCACACTTTCTGAAGTTAAGAGTATGTTTTCACAATGTCTGCTACTAGAAGTGATAACATCCCATGTTTACAGATTCTGACAGGGATTGGTGTGCAGAAAGGCTCTTGCTTATACTTGCTCCTATAGTGACTAAGGTCATTGCTGGATCTTGTGTAACACATTGTGGGTGCCAGCAAATAAAAGGGTGGCAAGAAGTAGAAGATTGCACTTCTAGGGAGGAATGGAAAAGGTGACCCAAATCTGATCAAAAAAAGCATTCCATTCCATATACACCATATTCAGTATAAAGCTGACGGATCACAGGGGTTAAGCTATTCCTCGTCCACTTCTGCAATGGCCAGTGTCTGAGGAGGACTCCGTCCTTTCTTCTGCCTTCGATCCCAATTCTGAGTTCCCAAATCCAGCTCCTGTATCCAGCTCCCCTCTGCCACTGAGCCTGATGCTTCCCCAGTGCGACCTGCTCTGCAGCATCAGTGGGGATTGCTGTTGGAGAGGAGCTGGATTCAATATTGGTTTTGTAGGTATTCGCATACATTGCATTATTTTCATTATTTCCTTATTTGTATTATTATTGTTTTACTAAAGCTGTTTTAGTCTTCTTTTCCAATCTGCAAGTTTCTTTGCCTTATTTCCTTTCCCTTCCCTTTTGGGGAGTGAGAGGGGCTGGAGACAATCTGTCAATGTTTAGTGGCTGGCCTAGCCCTAACCCTTGACAAGCAAGCATAAGACTGCCCAAAACAAAATCACAGAACTCTGCCCCTGCTGCTCTCATTGTGACTTGGGTCTCATCTTACCAAGCCCATTCTGTTCCATAAAAGGTTCACCATCTGAAAAGGCCTTTTCATCAAAAGAGTAGAAGAGACAAGCAGTCCACATTACTAATGCAAAAAATTGACAGTTTAAGTGACATGATTTTACTTATCCTGGATCCTCAAACAAAACACTTCTTAGAGAAACAGGCATCCATGTGTGACAGATACCCTTGACTCCTAGCCGTGCTTTGGTTCAGGCTGACCAAGAAGCAACAGCTCTCGTGTCCTTGTGTTGACCTCCTGAGCTGGAAAGCCCTTGGCTCATGTACAACAGAGTGAAATGTCTTAAAAAAATATTTTGTAGGGTAGTGTTGAAACTCAAAAGTACAGTATAAAGTACAGAACAAGGTATCAGAGCTAAACTAAAGTCATCTGTCTTGTCTCTACTATTGACTAGTAGCCAACTACCTGACCCTATAAATATTAGAAGTAGGACAGGCCCAACTTGAGCTCTCCCTCTGAGGCAGCTGGACTCCCTGCCAGGTGACTCTCCCCTTTGGCCTCTCAAGATTAGAGGTTCCTTACCTGAGACTAAGAGATCCTTCCTTACCCAAGGTGGAAGATCGCACAGACAGATCCTCAGTAAGTGATTGACTGCATGCTGAATTAATACTGTGTAACATTACTAATCCCTATAGCTACTCAGATATTATAAACATTGCATGGATAATCCCATTAGTCTTGAACTGTTGACCAAGTCTGAGATTAAGATTAGATCCAGCCACACCTAGGCTCCCGATAGGAATTTATAAAGCAAGTGGGTCCACTCTGAACCTCATAACTCAACATGCAGGTCCTCTTCACTTCTCATGCCTCCAGTCTCTGTATGATTCGTTCTAACTCAATTTTCCTTTGCTTGTCTCTTTCATGCAGTGAACTTACTGAATCTTGTCAAACCACCGTTAAAACTTTGTTAAATCTCATTAAACTTATTGAACTGTCAAGTTATTATTTTACCTCAACAAAACATATTGCTGCTTCTCTCTTTTGAGTGCATTCTGCTTATCCACAACAGTATGTAACTACATATACTTATTTACATAGTGATACTGACCGCCATTACAACTGAAATTTGATTTAGTGTTCCAATAACAGGTGCAGACAGGATGTCTTGATGCAGGAATAGTAACTGTCTATAAAAAAAGTTAGAAAAAAATTAAAGAATAATTTTCCATACTTGATTTTCTCACCTTCTGCAAACATAATATGTTCCACTTTTAACTGGTTTCCAGTGATTCAGTATAACGTACTCCAAGCTACTTGCTCACAACCCACCCATAGTTCTCGAAGACAAAAACTACAGGCCTTTGGCATGTGAACAGAACTCTTCAAAAGTGTTCCTTTTGGCAGATTTTCTCATTTCTCCCTTCTCTTATTAAAGGGAATGACATAATGCTTGGTGAAAACTAAGGAGCATATGTATGCTTTCTAAGTATTCTTTTCACTCAGTCTACAGAAACCAACAGGGTAATTCACAATATGTACCTAAAGAATTCCAACTTTGTGTGTGAACAAGAATGAATTCTGTTTATTAATTTGAAGTAGACGGCCTTGTTAGTTTTAGCTAATGACATTTAAAACATGATAGAAATGTGGTTTTTTCCCCAATAGCCAGCAAGTCCCCCACCAAAAAAAAAAAATTGAACAATTTTATACTGTTTGCTGCTGATAAGAATTTCACTGATTTTATTACAGTTAATGCTAGTACTGCTAATAAAATCTTTGAATAACAACCATCAATAGGTTTTGAAAATAATAACTCTCAAAATTATTTACCTGCAAACTTTTAACTGTGTACTCCTTGTCTCAGTCTCCAGTATCTGAGGGTTCAGCATTACTGTAGTGGCACAGAGTTTCTGTAGCTCCGGTAGACGGGCAAAGAACAGAGACTGGTGTCTGGTATTATTCATGTTATATTGTTGATTGTCCCAAACCACCACCTGGGTATTAAAAGAAAAAAAATATTTCATTTTTATAAGGCAGATATTTGTTTACAGAACTTTAGAAGGACATGGTATCGGGCAAATGAATAATTACCTTCTGACTAAGGTTAGGTAGGCAACAACATAATTTGGACAACTACAACAGACAGTTCAATATACTTCTTCCATAAATAATGCACTCTACTTAAAAAAATTATTTAAAGAGCCAAAACATTCAGAGTAAAGATGATGACAAAGCATCCTTTCCACCTCCTTCTCAGTCTACATTGGGGCTAGAATCTATCAGATATCCAAGAGCTAAGGAATCCCTCTGCAGTGTAGGCCCTCTCCTATCTGGCAAGAAAGTTGCCAGGAGCTCAGCAGAGATCTCCTCACTAAGTCATACAAAGAGAGTGGCTGGACTGTCAGAGAGGATGAAAACCACAGAAACATGGAGGGACACTGGGAATCTTTTCCTTTTTCCCCACACATGGCTCCCTTCCTAGTGGTACAGGGAGTTCATTTGCTCCCTGCTTAACTCCATCTCTATTCTCAAGCAACAGGTGAACAGCATGTTCTAACCTGTACAGAACCGAGTATATTCTCACACTCTACTGAAAGCTGTGCTAATCCAGAATTGCATTCAGCTATGTGATCAATAATGAACACAGACAGTTTGTTCGCCGCTTCTTGGAGAAATGTATGCGGTCACCAGGTATTATCTGAAAAGCAATTTCGCAAATCATGATGGAAAAATGATAAACTGTAAACATTTTTTTGAGGAACAACGTCAAACACAACTGTGCTGTTCTGATTTTGTTTTGTGTTGCTTACAGTGTAACACATTAAAAAGATTTACCTCAGTAATATCTTAGAAAGATCACAAGGTCAGTGTTTTGTAACTGTAATTTAAAAGAAAATACCATGTTTCCTTTCTTCTTACTGTTAAAGTACATTTCAAGTTTTTTCTAGCAATGACAAAAAGTAGGGTTTTTTTTTTAAAATGCCAGCCAAGACTATCACTTCAACAGAGAATTCCAAAAGCTACAGCTTAAGGGAAAGGACTATTTTAAACAAACGAGAAAAAATTCTTGTGCATTTGCAAACACAGAAAAAAAAAGGTTGGGTCCTCAGCTTTCATAATTCTTAAAAGAATCCTAAATGGCCCACTGGGCATTATTGTGGCAAAGACGTTGTAAAACACATGCTGCAATGCTCCAGTGATCCACTTGCTGTTTGAGGCCAACTCCCCTGCAGAAATCGCTTGCTGTATTTGGCCTAAGTCAAATCTTTTCAGTCATCTTAAAAGCTAATGGGACAGAGTGCTTGCAAATGGCTTCTCCCCTCAGGGGAGAGATTAAACAGAGAACTACCAGTTAACGTAGAAACACCAGGAATCAAAGGAAATAATCCAGATGCCTTCTGTGCAAGTAGAAGTGTGTGTGTGGCAGAAATTAGATCTTTAGATGCCATAATCACAACATGTGAACTTGAAACCACCAGAGCTCCTGGTATGTCAAAGAGGACATCAGTATGAGAACAACTATCTCTGGTTTTCTGTCGGAACAGACAGGTAAATCACAGAGCTTGCTAGCAATATTTGTTATCTTCAGTAACGACCTGGAAGATGGAATGAAAAGCCTCCTTGTTACAGCTGAGAGCCACACCAAGCTGTGAGGGACAGTAGCTACTCATTCCATTAGGCTGACTGTAATGAACTGGAGATGGGATGTGAAGATCATTGCATTCAGCGAGGAAGTATGAAGCTGTTCACACATATAACCAACAGCACGCACAGAGTATACAAAACAACTAAGCACCATCTTTGAGGAAACGCGCCTAGATAGGACACACTTGGTAAATTTTATGTCACCAGTTATGCTGTAAACAAACCCCGCAAGAAAAAAACCCAACCCCGGCCAGCAATCACGCTGGAACATATACACTGGGCTCTTGCTGCTGAGGCACCCAAGCAGTGTATGGGTGTAACCTGGCTGCTGTGACAGAAGGACCCATTCCAGTCCCAAAAGCAAACACAGTCACCAAACACATCTGAGGGCAGAGCAAAAAAACAGTTTTAGCTTAAACAAAACTGATGGAGAACCGGGTGGCCTATGGGTAAAAGCACAGCTACAACAGAAGGGATAGGCCCTGTGCCCTCAGCCCGCCCGGCAGCAGGGCAGGCGGGGCAGGCGGGTATTGCTGGGCAGCCTCGGGTCAAGATCCACGGGAGAGCTCTCCCGGGCCAGGGCGCGGGGCTCCTGCGGCAGCCCGGGGGATGG